TCCAGCGAAATTGGCGGAGGTGCAGGTACATGTGTGTACTTTTCGTCGAATGAGCATAACGAAAATGTTAAGAAAATATGTCAAGTTTTTGAAAGGCATGTACCACTTGCACTAACTTCCTAAGCGCCTTAGTTTCAACTTTGTTCTTTAGAGAGTTCGTTGAGCACGTATTATAGCACAATTTGATAATAAATTCAGCACTAAGAAAATGAGTAAGAAACCTGTCCGATATCTGACGAATAGTGGTGATAGAACTGGTTCATTTTATACAGAGTGTTTTGAAACATGTCTAGAATATGGCTAATTTTAGGTTGGAAATACAAAGACATTTTTAATATAAAAGTTGTAGGACCATATTTAACAGTTATTGTTCAATATACACGGTGGTCCATAAATGAGGTGCTGACCAAACATATACATTTGTAAAGCAAAACACTTTGCATATACATATTTGATTATTTTTACATCGTCTAAGAATTTTAATTAACTTTATTTATTTGATATGTTGTATATAGGGTATAGGGTGTGTCAAAATACGAGATTGCGATTTTCCCAATTCAATTTTTTTAAATGGAATACTCAGTATAAATAATAAATTGTAAAATTAAACATTTCTAAAATTTATTGGACTAATTATCAAAACACATTTGTAAAAATTGCAATTTACCAACATATTTTGTTTTTGTTTTTTGTTACAGCTTTATAGACCGTCAGATAGTGACAGTTTAAGGTATCCCATTATTGCTTACAAGCCTCGAAGAGGGTTGAAAATTACATTGATGTTGTAGAATGAAAGGAAATTTACGAGCGTATCTTGAGAATAACACATGGAAAATTCGATTTTTCTTAACAGAAATATTTTACGACTCCAAAATACACTTATCCAATCGGATCATTCAAGCCGATATGTTTTTCTGACTAGTGACGTTGTACGTTTTTATACATTCGATGGGCTTTTGTGGAAAATCCATTAAAATCTCTTTTTACAAGATAACGCTCTTATTTGAACCCTTTAGCCACTTGCAAAAATAAAACGTTTGGTTTTCCGAAGCCTAGTTCTATTAGTTAATCATTTAGTAAACACGGCTTGCGTAAAAATATGGGCAATAAATAGCGCTAATTTCTGTTAAGGAAAATTAAATTTTCCATATGTTACCCCCAGGAGCCACACGTAATTTTTTTTCATTTTACTCGAAATCCATGTATTTTTCAATAAACTTACTTTCAATAAACTGACGGTGATATTCACTTTTAATTTTAAGCTTTGTGACAATAAAAAAAAATTGTGATAATAAAAGGTATGTGGAAAAGCTACAATAACCCCAAAATTTTTTTGTGAAAGTCTGATGTTGAAATAAATCATTTTAATAATTACAATACATCTTTGTTTCTTATTTTACTTTTGCAAGATATTGGAAAACAACAATTAAAAAATGTATTTTGAAAGAATTATTAGACAAATAAAGAATTTTATAAAATATTTTAATTTTCATTGAAACATAATTAATGTTTAATTCAAAAAGAAACACAATAAAAGTCTAGTTAATAAAATTAAAAGTAACATTTGGCATCGGTCTGTATCTGTAACGTGTGGAGGGTGGGTTTTCAGAACATTTGTGCGAGGTACAGATATGTGAAATATGTCAGAATTTCTAGAGGATACTCTCGGAATGCAGATATCAATTTTTCTCAACAATTCAGGAGAATCAATTAAATCGTTAACAATTTTGAAACCTAACATATAACAATGGTATTCACGTCTTTTTGTGAGGCTTAAAAAGTGATATCTTTGGAGAAGATTTTGGTATGGTACTCCGATTGGCGGATAAACATAGTAATTTTAGAAACCGCCTTTGAACTGCTTCAATTCGATCCGTGTGAAGTTGGTAAAACGGAATCCAGACCTCACGCATACTCACGCTTTAATCTTATAAGAGATTAACATAACCTTTTTAAAGTGGCTACATCTTTGAAATCCCTGGTACAGCGACTTATAAAACTATATATATATATATATATATATATATATATATATATATATATATATATATATATATATATATGTATATATATATATATATATATATATATATATATATATATATTGATATAGAAATTCCTGACGTCATAAAATTTATTATTTTAAATTGAGCAATACTGGGGTGGTGAAGTGTCTTGAAATCAAAATTTAAAGTTAAAAATCAAAATGTCGGGGTTTTTTGTTGATTTAAAAAGAAAATTGTCAGAAAAATTGGAGATTGTCAGTGGGGAATTTAAAAAACGCCAGAGATAAAATTAATACAAAGATAAATTATTATTATTATTATTATTATTATTATAGAAGCTTGATGTTACAATAGAAGTTGAAATAAAGAAAATAAAATAAAAAGGTACAGAGGAATTTTAATTAGAAATAAGCAAAGACAGGTAAAAGCAGTGACAGACAGAGAGTAGCAGAGCCTGGGCTGGTAGCAGCAGTTACAGGTAGAAGCAGAGACAGGGAGACACGATCACATGCACACAGGTAGAGATTAGCAGAAGTACAGACCAACAGAGAGATAGAATCGAGTAGATAGACAAGCGGACAGGTAAAGGCAATATAGACAGTGGAGACAAGGAGCTAAGAGAAGACTGAAGAATTTAAAATTTAATTTTTTTATTTATTAAATTTGGCAAATATTTTACCATTTGTAAATTTTTAGAACCGAACCACCCCTTTAAGAGTCTGGGCAAATTTATTAAATTGATATACAGGGGGTTTCTATATCAATATATATATACATATATATATATATATATATATATATATATATATATATATATATATATATATATATATATATATAAATATATATATATATATATATATATATATATATATATATATACGATACGATGTTTCAATCATTTTATCAATGTGACACGTAAAGGTCAATCCGGAAACAAAAATTTCCCACGGCACTTATTATAGTCATAGTTAAGTATTGTTTTGTTGTAATGTTGTCAGGGTAACTTAAAAGCTCCCTGGCAACTCTGCAGCTTCTTGTTTCATCCCATCTTTTCTTGAATTTTAAAAAAAATGTTATTTAATTATGTTTGTGACTACCGATGTTGTCAGTCCAATAGAAGAGCCAGGTCCAAAAAATATGTGGTTGGCTGCCTTCTTGACAAGTGAATCAGCAAAACGGTTACCTTTCGCTGTGGCGTGACCTTTGATCCCTCTTAAAGGGACCATATTGTTAATGGGTACTTCGACCAAAGGTACCAACTCTAAGTAAATTCGTAGTATGTCCAGGGTGTGTAGTGCTTGTCTACTATCTATATAGATAAGCATGTTTCTATCATTTTATATAAATTGTGAAGATATATCACGGTAAGATGGAGTCCATGTTCGCTTGAAGCAGTGGGAGCGTATCAAGTGCCTCCAGTCCAAAGTGTTGTCTCATATCGTCAGGTTTTATTCCAAGAGTCGTGCCATTGTTATCAGAGCAACATTTGGAATATAAATATATAAAAAATACAAGTATTACATTAACAACTAAAATAAATAAAACTTTACAAGATATTGGAAAACAATCAAAAAGTGTACTTTGAAGTGTACTATTTACATCTAGGTGAGCAATCTATATAAAACTATAGACATCATTGGTCTATCCGGTACAGAAACGCCATCTTAATTTGATACATTTTAATGGACACTTTTTGTAAACAGAGATGTTCTTCTACCTCTACATACACTCCACAGAGAGAATATAATGATGTTGCAAATATTCTAATACGCGGGGTACCGCCTAAATGCAATCCAAAGGTTTAGGTTTGTAACCAATTTTACTGCAGGTGAAGTAGGAAAACCGGACGATAGAACATGCTTGCAAATGGATTTTTTTTTTATTTTATGGACATCTAGAAGCATATTATTTCATTGTCAGCAAAAGACGAAAAACTCCTTCAATTTGAAAAATAATTTTAAATTTGACAGGTTAGACTATCGGGACATGGTACATGTTGTTTGCCCCTACCTTGTATTTAACTACAAATAGCAAACAAAAAAACGCGACATGCCACTTTTTGCAGTCAGATGAGGGACTAATAGAGTAATGGGGATTTTGGGATAAATTATCTGCGTATAAAATATTTAACCGTAAATGTACAAGTGGTTGGTGGCAATTTTGACATGTCGTCCATTTGACGTAGATAGAATACTCTCAACCATAGAGGAAGAGACTCATGTGGCTGATAAGGAACCCTTTACATACTTATTGCAGAAATAACTATTTTTCATAGAAGTAAATAATTAAAAAAAGAAGTTCATAATGGCTATTTATGTAACCAGTTATGAATTGTCCTATTTTTTGTAACGAGTGAATATTTGCGGGACAAGGCGAGGTTCCGCAATACGAACAAATTAAACAAAACGGCATTTCGTAACGTGTTACATACAATATTTTGTCTAAATTTGACTAGATTATTTAAAAAAATTGTGTTATTACTTTCTATACCTTTATTCATTTTATTAATAAATAGAAAATCATATTAATTTATTCTCAATGGCTTGTTGTAGTGTATTTATATTTCTTGTTAAAATAATTTCCAAGAGTGCGGGTTATTTTTTCATGTATTGTGTTTTGATTATTTTGTTCTGATTTAGAATGAAAAATAAGGATCAAAACAACATTATTAATAGGGTGTAAGTACTGTAAGTTCACTAACTAAAATCTATTTTTATACAGTCACCCTTCCCTTCTTTAATATAAAGTTTCAATAATAATGTACATATTGATATTAAAACAAAAAAAGTGTTTTCTTTTTACAACTGGTGACAGTTTTCGTAACCAGTTTTATAATATACAACTTTGTGCAACTGGTTGCATAAAGTAGATCATTTTGAAACTTGCTGCGATTACAAAAATGTCTTTATATATCAAAATTAGAAAAACATATTTTTGAAAATCCTCACTGTTTTTAGAATTCTTAAAAAATGTCATAATCAGTCAACTTACTTTCATTCCACTTTTCGGTCTTCCAGACCGGACATCCTGCGAGGAATTAGTCCTTCTAGGACTTAGGTATACCGTTGGCGCGACGCTAGTAGACAAAATTCGTCTTTTATCAGTCCTAGAATGTGTTCTTAAAACTACTTCAGAATTGACCTCTGAAATATCGTCTTTAAAATCTGTATTCGGCGAAATTTTCTGAACAGGAGTCTAAAAAGTAACTGCTTGTAAATAAAATTATTTAACTTAACGAAGTAATTAAAAAAATGCGATTGTTCGGGTTTAAGTTTTATATCACGCTATATTCCTTTAAGAAAAATTAAACAAAACTTGGAATGGTGAATAATTTTATGTTATCTCTCCGATATTACTTTTCAATAATGAAGGCTCTCTGAAAATTAAAAATTATTTTTTTATTCCTATTTAATTTGTGTACTGTCCTTTCATACAAAGCAAGCATAAAGTATCCCTCTATAATTTCTCTTAATTAATATAGTACAATTAAAATAGTACAATTTACACATTACAATTAACATAGTACAATTAGCACAATACAATTAATATTGTACAATTAACATTGTACAATTAACATAGTACAACTATTAACATAGTACAATTATTAACATAGTACAATTATTAACATAGTACAATTATTACCATATTACAATTATTAACATAGTACAATTAACATAGTACAATTAACATAGTACAATCACCATAGTACAATTAACATAGTACAATTAATATAGCACAACTAGCATAGTACAATTAACATAGTATAAATAACAATACAATTAATATAGTACTTTCGAAAAACAAAATCCGGGAACTAAAATTTTTTTAACATTACTGATTCAAAACTAACCCTCAACTAAAAAACTTTTTAAATTTTTTTTGCCTTTTTTTAAATTTTTTTTTAAGAGTAAATTCCCCGTACGATTAACATGATATAATTAATATAGAACAATTAACATAGTGCTACTAGTATGGTTTAACTAACATAGTACAAATAATATAGTACAAATAAAAGAGTACAACTAACGTGGTACAATCAACATAGTACGATTAACATAGTGCAATTAGGCATTCCAACGACTTGTCAAAATTCTGCCCGTGGGTAATGACAGGTTATGATATGCAACCCTGTTGTCCTGTTATCTTTGACAGGGTCAATTATACATACATAGTTATACAGATTACTTAAAGCGAGTCGTTTGCGAGCGGCTATATCGCCTCGCAAGTGCTCATTAATCAGAACTGGTTTAACAAAAAATCTGATGTGTCCAACACATGACTTTCCTATCTATTTATTACAGGCTTTTTCCGGTTATTTTGTACAACCTATTGCAGCATCTCTATAAATGTTTAGAGGATAAACTAAATATATACATTGTCCACATACATCTACCGCGAAACATTTTTCTATAGATAGTCATTGAAAATGAAAATACTGAAAAATTTAAATTTAGCACTTTTCCTACAATTTTTCCATTACGGTCCATTTTAAAAAAATCATGTATAAACAAATATTATAGAGATCGATATCGCAAACAACTTTTATTTCAACAATTTTCATAAAAATCAGAATTTTGCACATTTTGTCAAATTTTTCGAATACGGACCATTTTACATTAAGCAAAAATTATAGATAATAATATTAGAAGTAACTTTTATTTGAACAATTTTTTTCTCCAAACATAAATAACAGATATATTCCATAAAATATAAAAACGGCCTCCCATAAAGTACCCCCCCGATGTTCCGACTTTGTCCAAAATCTAATCATTTCACGTCAGACCGAAATAAAACTTAAGTTTAAAATTTAATGTTTTTTTCTTTATCCATTTTTAAGTTTCCTTCAAATTTCGAAATTTACACATTTTCTCAAATATCTCGAATACGGTCCATTTTAAAGAAATTATCTATAGAATAAAAATTATAGAGAATTATATTACAAACAACTTTTGTTTGAACAATTTTTATAAAAAAAATATTTTTTTACATTTTGTCAAATTTCGCGAATACGGACCATTTTAGGAAAATTTTGTATATAACAAAAATTATAGATAATAAAATAAGAAGAAACTTTCATTTGAAGAATTTTCTTCCCCAAACGTAAATAACAGATATATTCCATAAAATATAAAAATGACCACCTATAAAGTACCCCCCCAGATGTTCCGACTCTGCCCAAAATCTAATCAGCTCATTAGACGCTGGAACAAAGCTTAAGTTTGGTGTTTTTCCGTGTATCGGTTCATGAGTTATGCGTTATACAGACACACACACACACACACACACACACACACACACACACACACACACACACACACACACACACACACACACACACACACACAGACACACACACACACACACACACACACACACACACACAGACATCATCGCGAAAATAGTCAAAACGGATTCAGGGGACCTGAAAACGTAAAAATCCGTCGAAAACTCGAGGTCGAAAAAAATCATGATTCCTATACTTTCCTTATATCTGTATACAGATAGGAAAGTAAAAATGTGTTTTAAACCCAATTTTTAGCCTTTAAATATATTAAAAAAAATTATCTACATTTTTACTTTAATTTACATTTTAAAAAACCTTAATTAACAATCTATATTGACTTTGTCAAATCACCAAGCCAACAGGTTTGCCATGTCAATACCCAGTGGCAGCCATTTTGTTTGGAATGCGTAATTAACATAATACAATTAGCATGGTAAAATTAACATAATACAATAATTAACATAGCAACAATTAACACAGTACACTTAACATAATATAATTAACTTAGTACCACGAACATAGTACAATAATTAATATAACTATTTTTAATAATGAAATGGTTTTATAATGATACAGAACAAAAAAATAAATGTTTATAAAAAGACTACAAAAGTGGCTTTTTCTCAATAATAAATTAAATAAGTAAGCCATTTTTTGTTTCTAAGTTACATGGATAATTTTGAATTTGATTGGCTAAAAAAGTTTAATAGAAAAACAAAAACCCTTTCAAATCAAATAACCCCTGTTGCTATTTAAAAATTTTTAGGGTAGATGTTAAAATTAGTGTAAATAAAAATTGACCTGTTAGAGCATTTTGTCGAATATTTTGGCGTATATAATTTAATAGTTCGCACGTTATGGAACACCCTCTCTGTATACATTTAGATATTCGAAAGTTTTTTTTTCAATTTCTAAAAATGTAACATAATTGTTATATTTCTTTGTTATCTCATTTATTTGAATAATAATTAAAAATTAAATATACAAAAACATTTGGTTCAGTGACTATTCACAATGGTGAGAATTTGATGTAACTCACCTCTTAAGTCTTGTTTATATTTCTGTAATGTTTTTTAATGCACAATATTATTTAATTCCCCTTGGGAAACGACAATAATTTATTATCAATTATAAACTGACTCAATCTTTTCAATAATTATACAATTTTAAATAAACACTCCTTAAACGTCAATAAAAATGTGCAATCCCTAAAATTATACAATATTTATGACTTCAAGTTTCAAGAAATCAGTTTCCACAAACAAATATACAAGGTATAACAAAATTGTAGGTCATACTTATTCCAGATATTCTGGGGTGAAAAATAGGTCGATTAGATTGCCTACCTAAACGGACAGGCACGTAAACAAGGAGGGAGGGTATTAGGGTAATTATCCCACCCAACTGCTCGGGGAAGTCCTGGAATTTAGTAAATTGTAACCTCGAGATGATGGCGGCGAATAAAATTATTGTATTGTATTGTTTAATAATTTAGTGCCGATACTTAAGGGTGTAAATCCTTAAGTGATTTTAAGAAAAAAAAAGTAAACTCCTTAATTTTTAAGCTACAGAGTGTTACAGTTTTAAGAAAAAATAACTTTTTTATCATAATTTTCTTATGACTCCAAATATTTTTATGAAATTTTGTACACACCTTTTAACCATTAAGAAGCATTTCTGACGTGAAATATCTTTATAAATTTTACCAGTGACGTTTGTACGGGGTTTAAGGATGCCACAGCACTTCCGGTTTTTGAAAACATGCTTTAAATTTGAATTTTAGTTAATCCTTTCCTACATAGATGTAGCTACACTCTTTAACCTCCATATTTTGTCCATTATATCGCAAAAGTCGTTCAGCAAAATAATATACACAATGATACTTATATATATTTTATGTTCTCAGTTAAGTTGGTCTGGTGGAAAAGATTTGTCAACACCGCGTATTTGTAGATATCTATCGATAGAAAATCTACCAATTGTTAAGAAAGGGTTTTCTGATTTATGGGGTATTAAATATTTAGCTGTCTAATTAGGGTCGCAGGTACCTATTTCGGATAAATATTTATTGTAAGAATCTTTTAGTGGCACTGACCACGCAAAATCTATTATAAAAAGGTAGGTATATTTACCCCAATCTCAAAATAATGGTTGAAATATTACATTTTTAGTTTCGGTTATGAATTTGTGCAATAAAATTATTGATATATCTAACAAATACGTTTAAATTACTTTTCTTTATTCCCCCAAATATTTTCGACGTTTTGGAACCATATGGAAAACTTTTTTATTATTGGTTTTGTGAAAATTTTTATTCCTGATTAAAAGTTCTACATCGTTCAAAACTTTAAACTAAACCATCAGATATAAATTTTTTAAGCCGTATACGAGGTTTGTCAAAAAATATGATTTTTACGCAGGGGTAAAGTACCTTTATTTTTTACAATACAGAAGAATGTTACAAAGTACACTAATGTCTACTGGAACTGGAACCATATGGAAAACTTTAATATTCCATAATAACGCTGATCTGCTAAAAACATCGCATTTAGTTCCTATGTATGTTTCTATGTTTCTGACATAAATGGTACGTCACTACAATGTTTCTAAAGAAACGTTTCTGGAATAATTTCTCAAGAATGTTTTAAAAACATCGTAATTATGTATAGGTAATATTTTAAAGACTAAGGTCTATATGTGCGGTAATAATGAAGAATATTAAATGTTACAATGGTTTTATAAATGTCTTCCGATATATAACATTATTCCTTAGATGTAGTTTACCCATTACATCATCTATAAAGAACCTGCTATATAACAAAATTATGTAATTTTTCACAGTAATCACGTGAGTTATTTTGTAACATGTAAATTACTTTGTTATATATTTTTATTTGCTGGACACATATTG